GAAGGAGAAAACCACACCAGAGCACCCGCCAACCACCCACACCCGACCTTCAATCGTTTTCTGTTTGTTTGTTTTTGTGAGAATTTTACGGCACTTACAACACAGTAAGGTCATAAGTGCCGAGGATTAGAGGTGTAACAAGAAAGTAAGAAACTAAAAAAAAAGGAGAGGTGAGGACGATAGATGTTTGATAGGAAAGAAGAAGCAGATGGTTATGAATGGTTAGAAAATGACATGCTCAAAATCTGGAACCTACTGGAAACAATCGTTTAAAGTGCCAAAGAAACAAGAAACAGAGAAGCTCGAAGCTCTCGAAAGAAAATTGTTTAAGAACTTCTCGGCTTACCCGGTACTGTGAACTTTGTGTTGAGATGAAAAGCTTCAAAGTTACCCAAATTGGTTGCTTTTAAGCACTAGCTTAAAAGCGGGCTATCCCAAAAATGCTGTTTTGAGAAAAACGAAGGTAACGTTTTTGCCCCTTGTTTAGTTTCTTTAAAAGACTAGGAGAGTTTTGTCTATAACCAAAAAAATATACACACCAAAGAAACCAAACTTCTCTTATAGGTAGGGCAATGCCCACTTTTGGTGCAAGTCAAGATTTCTGGAAACCCCCATTATATGGGTTAGCCCGCTTGTCCTTAAAAGCGACCAATTCCATTTGAGTGATCATTGTAGATCTATAGTAGATTTGAGTTGTCTTACAATTAATATAAAATTATATACAATTGTTATACATTTATATAAATGTGTACGAGTATCATATGCTCAGTGAGGTGGAAATTATATCAATTGTTTCATATGTTTAGAGAATTGGAAATAAGATTATTGTAGTTAAATGAATGTGTAAATAAGTTCAGTGTAGTAAAAATAAGTTAGTATAAACTGGAGTCCACTTAAACCGGAATCTGTGGGACCGCTGAAAATAATATCTTTTGCCGTGTTCGATTTCAGCGTATGTGTAATCATGTTCAGTGGATCGGAAATAATAACTATGCATGTGAATGTGTACATTTTGTGTATTAGTATCAGCGAATCCGACTGAAATAATACTGTGTAGTAACAATTGTGTAAGAGTATCATATGTTCAGTGAATCAGTGTATTATACGAGTTATGAATGTAAATGTTCAGTGAATCAGAGATGATAATAACATAGAGTTATGAATGTGTAGAGGTGTATATGTCCAGTAAATAAAAAATAATACTAATCTATGTAGAATTTCAAATCTGTATCATGTGTACCATATTATGTTCAGTGAATGGGAAATAATAATATTACTATTATAGTTATTCTAAATTGTGAATGTGTATACATGTATTATGTTCAGTGAATCAGAATAATACTAGGCCTACATGTACATGTATGTAGTTACACATGTGTATGTCTATTGTATTTTTCAATTTTGTATGTTCAGTGAAGTGGAAATTTACACTGCAGTGCCAAATAGGATGTCTACTAGAGGATCAAAGGTTTGAATTATGTGCAGGGTCGCAAAGAATATAAAACAATAATAATATCAGTAGCGGAGGCTTTCAAATAAGTGACTATTGAGGGATGTCCGTGCACAGCACACATGTGTCAAATCAAGGTAAGAATAATATATTTAATATATTGTGTCACCCCGCGGTGGACTCAGGGGCTCGTGATTTTTTTTGTTTTGTTGGGGGGGGGGGGGGGTAGTTCGGCATATTTGAAGTTATGGGAATCATTTTAAAGCTTTCATTTGTCCTTCTCTTTGATAAAAAACCATTTCTATCTTGAAAACAAATCGAGATATTTACAATCAAAGGAGGTGGGGGGTCGCCTGGTGTCAGAGGTAAAATTATTGAGAAAATGGCAGCCAAAGTTTGGTGACTCCCAGAGCTTGCTTGCCCTTGGAAACTGCAAATTCACATTTTTCGTATCTTTGATCAACGATTTTCCATAGAATCCACACAGAAATGTGCGGGGGAAAAAAAAGAAATAAAGTCGAAAAAAATCGCTTAATGCCCAGACAAATGTTAGTTTCTCCGATACATATATTATTATTATATATATTTTTTTTACAAACGCCTGATTTCCGCACGATGCCGCACATATGACGTTATGGTAACAGACAAAAGTGCGTGTGTATTTTTGGAGTGAGCTTTTATGTATGTGTAAACATTATATATAGATTCTATAATTTATATACAATCGAAATTGTCAAAGATGGCCACCCATTGGGGGAGAAGAAAAGTGTTGTCTCAGTCAGGTGGACTTCTCGGACAGTGTCAATAAATGTTATAATATCCACAAACTAAATGGGGGAGGGGGGGGGGTGATAAGTGGTCGAATGCACAGGTGATTGTCCAGGATAGGTGGCTTTTAAAGCAGGTTGAACTATATTTATATATACACGATGTGCATTATATATTATTATATATGAATGTATGTACGTATTATGTGGTTTACATATAAAATATGAAGGCTATTGTGTAGCCTATTTGTTATCTGCCATCGTAACTTAAGTCCCTAATAGGGATAAATAAACTTGTATTTTTGTTCTTTTTTCACTCTATCCTACTGTTCCTAAGACCAATGTCATGATTTCCCGTGTATGTACAAACTACATTAACCTCCATTGACTGTGGTAATTTCATACAACTTGTCAAGGTGCTGGAACCAGGTACATACTGCAAATGTTTCATTACCTCTTTTACCAACAGTTCAACAGGTTAAAATGCATATATAACCATATTTATCTGTCGCAAACTTTAAGAAAATCACACAAATGTACAGACAGAATGATTGTTGTTTGTGATTTCTTTCTTTCTTGTTGCTTTTTATTTCATAAGATATACATTACACTTGTGCATGATTTCTAAAAACATTTTTTTGCAAAAATTCAAGTTCCTAGGAACAAACTATGTCTCCTTAAAGGATACACACAAAAGACTTGAATTATGCATGTTCCTCTGTAAACAGTGAAATGTATGTCACGCCCTTTTTCATTAAACTAAACTTCATACAAAAGGCGTCGGTCAACAAGTGGTGTGGCTTTTGTGAGAAAGTGCAATGTACATCAACAAGCTTAAAATTTTTTTAAAAGCATCAGCAGTTTTCAATCATCATCATCATCATCCAGTGCCAGATCTGCGACAGACATCGGCGATCATGGTTCTCCATTTATTCCTTCACTCAGATGCTCTTAAAAAAGCTACATTTCCCTGATCTTTCCCTTTTACCCATTTGTTTAGGTTCCCTAAGTAGTTTGCTCTGGGTCTATTCATGCCTCATTTGCCTTCAGTTTTGCCAGTGAGAGCTAGATGTTCAAGACCCTTATGTCTATTCAGGTGTCCCAAAAACTGCTTTTGTAGTTTCCTGATTGTTTTTAACAGTGAGCGTCGCATGTGGGCTTCTTCAATGCGTAAAAAAAAAATACAGTCAAAGTTGTCCAAGACGGCCACACATTGTCGAGGACGAGAGTGACTGTGTTACTGTTAGACAAGTGGTCATCTTACACAGTATCACTTTCTACTGCTGCTCCCTGGCTACTTCTTACTGCTGTGTTCCAACCACACCCCTGATCTTATGGTAAGAAAGATCTACTCCTGGCCTTCTTGGACAAGGGCCAACAATCTTGGAGGTCCCATGTGCAAGTTGCGCATGTTAAAGATCCCTTGGTGGTAAAAAAATCAACAAGAGTAGGCTTCGGCCACTACCCGGGAAAAATATAAAATTTCCTACCAACTGAAAATGCTTAATGTGTCCCGCGCAATCATATGAGTTGCAAGCGTCGTAAAACACTTACCCCCCCCCCCACAGTAACATTATAAAGTAAAAACTACGCAAGGGAGGAAATGAGAAAAGGGAATTTGTACAGGTGACTGTCTTATACAGGTGATTGTCTTATACAGGTGGCCGTTTGTACAGGTGATTGTCTTATACAGGTGATCGTCTTATACAGGTGGCCGTTACAGCAAGTTCGACTCTATTTTATGCTGGGCTGAAAAGGGAGTGAAATTGACTCTATTTGCCAGCAAAGCAAAGAACTATATGCTGCATGTGTACTTGTGTATGGTAGGCCGATGCAACAAGTTGCTAAACTTTGTAAATGCAATGTGTCACAACTGGCTTCTGTGGTGTAGTGGTAAGACATTTCGCCGTTGCACACAGAAGACCTAAGTTTCTGTACGAGGAGAATTTAAATCAAGTATCTCGGTCTTTCTGCTGCAACAGCTCTGTATCCCTTTCAGCCGGGGTTACCCCTGACAGGCAAAGTCCAAGCCAGCTTCCCAAGAGATATAAAATTGTGTCGATGGACGTGTAAAAACACCTACATTTGATTTCTTTCATTCTGAATACGTAACGGCCAACACATCAAGTTTGTCAGGAACCCACACGCAGTAGACTAAAACCCACTGAAGTAGAATGAAAATCAAATGGTGTCATGTTCTCCCTAAATCCCAGCGGGTGGTTGGCGGTAGCTCTGGTGTGCTGCAATGATAAGGCTCTTCTTTGTCACACACATCAGAGCTGGAGATCCTTTGTTGCTGCCCTAAATGCCAGATGGCGTAATGGGTAGTAAGTAAGTTGTCACACACAAAACGCACGGGTTTCTTTTCCGGGAACGGAACATTTTTATGGAGCATCTCTGCTGTCTGCTGGAATGTAGCGCTTTACTCAGCCAGGGTGGGCCCAAACAAGCAGGGTTGAAACAGGCCATCTTTGAACTACCAGAATTGTGTCTACTGGGTTCTAAACATATTTATACACAAAACTACACACTCACAGGCTCAACCCACAACATTCTTCCTTCCGGAGAAAACCTACTGGGCCAAATCAAATTGATACACTTTACGTGATATCGTTAATTTTGCTTACTTTTTCGTCGCTTGTAATTAAATTGCCAAAATTTAAGAGCGAAAGTAGGAAAGAAAGAGCTTTAGAGCTGATCCTCATTCTTTTTTTAACTAAAGTTCGACAACATCTACAAAGAACTCGAAATTCCAAGAAAAATCACATATAAAACACGTCACTACTTTTTCAAGATACTAAAACCATTTTATTTACAAGATCAGTTGAAGTGAATGAAGTCCCTGCCTTCTTTCAATCGCAGACTTGAGAGATTTTGTTCAAAGTTTCCGGACAAATCCTGCCAAAAGAGGAGAAAAAAACAGTACATTCATAACAATACACCACAAAAAAACCCCACGCCAGCTCCCCCTAAAAAGAATTGCTTATTTGCATAAAAAAGAATCACACAGACACAAAAAAAGCAATTTGCGCTGGGGGCAAAATGTGAAACAGTTTGAAAAAGGGACCATAAAAAAAGTAAATCATTTTATTGATCCCCTCCAACCCTCAAATCACTTAGTTTTTCAAGGAGTAAAAGTCCATTAGAACAAAAATAATTTAATGAAAACATAGAAATAAGCAAGACAAGATATACATTTGTGTGTGTGTGTGTGTATGGGTTTTGGAGTAAAGGTACACATTCCAAAAGGCAGAAGTGGAAAGAATGAATCACAGGTAATAATTATGTGTACAAAGCCATCATCTGAACCAAAAAGTACTTTTACCTTTAAGCTGAGCTAATCTGTCTGATTAAAATTCACTTTTTAAATCTACCACAATCAAAGAAAATCATATTTAGTTCTACAGCTCTTGGAAATCAAATGATGACACATTCTGGCTAAATACCAAAAAATTATTTACGGTTAATGTCGTGGGGGGGGGGATGTGGCAGAGGCCAGAGTTCTGATGATGACTACAAAAATAATAAATTAAGTCTTTTTATGTAGATAAAGGGCAAGTCAAAGCTTAAGAAAAGCATATCCATACAAAGCTTGTAACGAACGAAAGATGGGGGAATCAAATGACAGGAGAAAAGAAAACAGTACCCATGGCACTTTCCACCTGCAAGCATTAATGAGAAAGCACATCTAAATTTTGATGATAACGCAGTAAAAGGCAAAGACAAAATGAAAGACAAAACCAAGGGGAAACAAAGAGACAGTATCTACCTGTGCAGTGATACCATCTAACCATCTTAACTTTGTCAAAGTGGGAAACTTTTTATTTGTTTGAATAAAGAAAAGCAACACAACACAATAACAGTCACTCAGTTCAGGGAAAAAGAAATGCGGGCAGGACAAAAAACAAAGGAAGAGGATAAAAGAAGTAGAAACCACAAGCGGTTCCTTCTAACCACTTGTTTTATTGTTTCAGTAAGTGTTTTGCGGCACTTACAACACAAAAGGTCAGAAGAGCGCTGAAGATAAGAGGCATTACAAAAGAGTAACAAACACAAAAAAGGAGGAGAGATAGGGACAATAAAAGTTTGATTATTGATAGGATAGAAGGAGCAACCCACACCAGAGCACCCACCAACCACCCACTGACCTCTTGTGAAAACGGAGGAGATACAACCAAAATACAACAAAGTAGACACTTCTTTTACCATTTTTATACAGATGATTATCGGTGGTTTCACCTCAGTGAAGTAGACTATGGGAACTTTGGGCTTTGGCACTTCCTGAAATAAAAGAAACAAATACAAGGTCATAAGCTGGATGTCATAATAATAATAATAATACCAATAATAATAATAACAAATCCAATAATACCAATAATAATAATAATAATAATAATAATAATAATAATAATAATAATAATAATAATAATAATAATGATGATGAAGATAACAATAATAACAAAAATAGTAATAATGATAAATAATAAAGATCACTTTTCCTACAGCGCCTATTCCCTCATGGTCCTGGGCCAGGTATGGGCAAACGTGTCCAAGTTGTTTATATATGAAAGTAGTATAAGTAATTTAAATTCTATCTATATATCTACATGTGTTTTTACCATTCCTGTACAGCCAGAAAAAAATTCCCTTTTTTGGGACAATAAAGTATCATCTTATTTTCTTATCTTATCTTATCTGGCTCGTGGACTTTAGGTGCTTCACAATAAAATAAAATTTTAACAGCTTACATAACCATATGTTTCATGCACACTGGCCAATTCAATGTACAACAGTCCTATTAAATGTCACAGCAAAGACAGAATATTTAATTGTAAAAAAGCAATAGCCTGAGGATCAAGTACAGCAAATCATCTACCTACTTTCTTTCATATCATCCCATGTGAGCTAACTATATAGTGATATTTACAGCACTTTTCAAGGAACCCCAAGCAAATATTGAGTTCCTGTGTGCTGTCCACATCGCTGACTACTTATGCAGCCACAGTGCCAGAAGGGAGAGAGACATTTACATGACTAAATTCATACAAAACAAAATTTGATAGAAATGTCCGGATAATCACACAAGAAGAATTTGCATGCACGAATGTATGACTGTCTCACACAGTATATGTTCTTACGATGATGCTACTGATCATACTCACTGGTGAGTTTTCATATATGTAATACTTTTTGGAGATTTTTCTTTCATCGACATCACAAAACATTGTCACCTGGAAAGGAATAGAATAAAAAATTGTTCAAGGAAAAAAAAAGCAATTTTTTCACTTGAACATGGCAAATAATGAATAATGATTACTGATTTCTGTGACAAAAAGATAACAAATGCTGGGAAACCAAGTTATGCTTTAAAATGAGGATATGCTGTAACTTTCCTTTCTGGATTTCAAAAGAAAATGCAGTTTTGTGATTAAATACTAATAATCCTTTAACATTTGCTACTCTTACCTTGGCACAGATCTAAATGAAAATCTTAAGTTCGCTATTCTTAATCTGTAATTCACAAGTTAAAAGGCGTTCGAAGCACAGAACTTAGCATGCATGCCTGTGTTAACAGATTCTTTTAGTACACAAGATTTGACAGACTAACAAACTAGCAAATAATAATAACTGCATTTAAATGGTCACCTTAGATTGACTTGTCCGTGAGAGAGAGCGGAATAGCTTACGACCCTGTTTCCCAGCGTTCCATATAGAAAAGTGATCCCATTTCTTCAGAACCTCTTGCTCCAAGAATGCCACACGCTTGTCCCATATAGTTTCCCTATTTTGAAAAGAAAAAAAAAGAACAGTAAAAATTGTGAAAGTGCGCCACCCACCGCCAAGGAGAAAAGTGGCTGTCTTAGACAGGTGGACTTCTTACACCATGTCTTTATACTGTGAGAAAAAAAAAACACCAGTGAGAAAAAAGAGAAGAGGCTGTTTGTACAGGTGATTGTCTTATACAGGTAGCCGTTAGAAGAGCAGGTTCCACTCTATTACATTGCCATTCAAGTTCTTGAGTCCAATAAGAATAAGTCATAACAGTTCACAAACACGTACATATAAGAGAGTCCGCTTAAGCCAGAATCTGCGAGGATTTTCTTTCATTTAGCCGGGTTTTCTGTTTAACCCTTTCGTTGCCAGGGGGTATGCATTCCTACTGTCAGTGATGATTTTCAGCTGAGCTCGTTACCCAGGACAGCAGCCTAATGTCTCAGTGTTAATGGACGCACGGTCCAGATCTAGCATTCTTGTGACATATTTATGATGCTGGGTCTTCGATTGTTTCACTTTTCTTATTCCCTATTTCCTACAATCTTACTCATAATTTCGTATAACTGCAAATCTAAATCAAAAAGTGAATTTATTTGCCTTCTTAAAGTCATTTCGATGTTTACGTATTAGGAGAGCATGCGGCTGCCCGCAAGCCTAGATCAACGTTTATCGATCACTTGCAAGCCTAGCAGTAAGGAAATTCTAGCAAATTTGGAACCGATAGGCGCATCTTTTATTCCCGAATCCAAATCTACACAGCCCTTAAATTCCGTACAGACGAATTAAGGCCAGGTTATTAGCATGCACTTGTACATGATAGAGAGGGAGGAAGAGGGAGAGGAAAGGGAGGAGGAAGAGAGGGGGAAGAGGGAGAAGGGAGAGGGAGAGAGGGAGGGGGAGAGGGGGAGAGGGGGAGAGAGAGAGAGAGAGAGAGACAGAGAGACAGAGAGAGAGAGACAGAGAGAGAGAGACAGAGAGAGAGAGACAGAGAGAGATAGTGAGTGGGCATATGCAAGAAAGTACATTTGTTTGTGCAAGTGAGTGTGTGTGTGTGTGTGTGTGTGTGTGTGTGTGTGTGTGTGTGTGTGTGTGTGTGTGTGTGTGTGTGTGTGTGTGTGTGTGCATGTAAAATGAAACTTTGCACAATATGGGAGCTTGTGTGTCTGAACACAGGAAACAGCACAGTGACCCCGCCACAATAACAAAAAATCCCACCCACAAAAACAAAGAACTAAACGTACTCTTTCACAGAAAAGGTTGCGCATTCTGGATGGTATCGATACATCAGTAGGTCTTTATCAACACGGGTCAGAGTTCCACCACCACACAAGTGGGCGTAAAAGAAAATCAAATCTTCAGGGACTCCCTGTCGAAGCATACAAAGACAGACGTACATTCAACAGACTGAAACAAGAGCATCACATACTTTTTTTCCAACACTGGTCATATTGACTGAACAATCTCAGATACCTTGAATTCGCCCAAAGAAAATAATAGTACAGTATAACTCAGATAGGTTGAACACAGAAGACTTGAAATCACGCATCCGTCGAACTGTGCCTGCGGTCCCGTTTTTTCTTCTTCTATATCTTTGTAAGATATCCCTCAAACTACGGATCCCTCAAACTACGGAAGATGGTCCCGACGAATTTGAGCTATCCGTGTTATACTGTAGTTCTAAATTGTTCACGACAGCCACCCTTTGTTAAGGAGTAAATTGGTTGTAATAGACAGGTGAATATCATGGACAGTATCTTTATAATATAGAAAACGTAATAAGGGAAGTGGTGTTTGAACAGATGAATGTCTTGGACAGGTGGCTGTTGGAACAGGTTCACTTCAGTCTCATCACCAGACACTAAGATGAGATGAGATGAGATGAGATGAGATGAAATGAGATGAGATGAAATGAGATGAGATGAGACTTTGCAGTCCCTGTGGGAAATTGTGCGTAGCTGTACAGAAATGGTAAAAGCAGATGAGAACATACATAGAACTTAAATTGTATATTACTTTCATAAAAGAATTTCAAAATGAAGAGAAAAATAAAGCCAAAATAATAAAAGAAGGCAGTTGTAAAACATATCCCCAAACTGTCATAGAAGACATCACAGACAGGACTTCGAATAAGAAGGCCAACCCTATAACATAAACAATATCAGACCATATGATTGATAGGCTGCAAATTCATTCAGTCATCCAGAACTTGCTTTAACTCTCACTCATCTCATCCAGTGTTCAAAATAATAATAATAAAATTTGATAATACAATCAAGCCTGCTCCAACGACCACCTGTCCAAGACAATAACCAGTACAAATGACCTCTCCCCACTCCCCCACCCCCCGCATTTTCTCTGGATTATGACACTTTTCATGAGGACCACTATCTAAGACGACCACTTTTGACCCTGAGAATCAGTCGTCATCTTTGGCAGGTTCGACTGTAGAGCATTGTATGCTTCCCAGAAAGTTGAGTTTGCTTCATAATGCTATCACAGGTGTGCTGGGGTAATAGATAGCACTATACAAATGTGAAGCGTGCTGACAAAATGAGTTACTTCTCGGACTCGAGCCCTATGAAAATAGATACGTCACGCTTTTAGGCCAAGTTTTTACAATTTACAAGTATGAAATAATAATAGACATGTTATATTTAAAAAATATGGTAAGAACAGAAAATCTATTAATTCGTCCCTAGTGTTGATTTTTGGCCAATATATCTTCATTTGTGGATTGCGAGAAGTAATTCATTTTGTCAGCATGCCTCACAAATGCTTTTATTATCATTAGTGACATAAATTCTGGCTAACCTTGCCTCCCTCATGGAATCCACCGACAGATTCAACAACATTCCTATGGCAGAACCATGTAGGCATGATCACTGTCGGGCCATGGGATGTATATGCCTGTGGAAAAAAACCCACATTATACAATAATATTAATGGCCAGCGATCAATCTTTTTTTAAAAAGTAGGCATTTAATGCTCCCGTCAACATAGCTCATTCAGGAGGTGGGCTTCAAACTTGTCGTTCAGGTTCAATCAGGGCTGACAGCGATACACCGTCGCACAGGAAGACCAAGACACTATAAAATTTCTCCTCTCTTAGTAATTGAACTTAGGTCTTCTGCATGTAACTACGAAGCGCCTAACTGTTACAACACGTATGCCGTTGATCAATAGTATTTGAAATCTTTAAATTGTTTTGTATGATTATAACTTATATGACTTTATTTGACACAAAAAGATATTTTAGAGAGAGAGAGGGAGAGAGAGGGAGAGAGCGAGAGAGAGAGAGAGAGAGAGAGAGAGAGAGAGAGGGGAGAGAGAGAAAGAAAGAGAGGGGAGAGAGAGAAAGAAAGAGAGAGAGAGAGAGAGAGAGAGAGAGAGAGAGAGAGAGAGACACACACACACACACACACACACAGACAGACAGACAGACAGATAGACAGACAGACAGACAGACAGACAGACAGACAGACAGACAGACAGACAGACAGACAGACAGACAGACAGACAGACAGACAGACAGACAGACAGACAGACAGACAGACAGACAGAGTTAGTCGTCTCAGACACGTGGCAGTTAGAGCAGGTTCACCTGTACATACCTGTGTGTAGAGCTGGTGTGGACAAAGCCTGTTCGCCCACTGACTAAATCGTTCTGTCGATCCCTCTGGCTTCCTGTGAAATTTACAGCCCACAATCTGACCAAAAGAGTAAACATTAGAAATTCATACACAAATGTAAACAAGACAGTGGTATAACTAATACTAATGGTAAATATGGCGTTGGCGGTCTTGTGTTGGCTGTTGGGCTCGCAACTGAAAGGTCATGGGTTCGAACCCCATTGAGGACCCGTCAATGTGTTCGTGTGTTTACATGAATTTTCCTCACTTCACAGAGATGGGATTGGGTACCGGGCCATAGACAGAGAAAGATCTTGTCAGTTTGTTTGTGTTTGAGTACTAATTAAAAAGAAAAAAAATTTGGTAAGTGTTTTATTGGGCCTGCATAAGGTCATATGAGCGCGCAGGGGACACATTAAACATTTTGCTACTCTTATTGATTTTGGACCACTAAGTGATCTTTAAGGTGCACCACTTGCACAAGAGACCTCCGAGATTTTTCGCCCTTATCCGAAAAAGTTTAGGTGTAGATCTTACCTACCATGAGATCAGGAGTGTGGCTGAAAGACAGAAAGTAAAAATGAGCCAAGGAGTAGCAATAGAAAGGCTGCAGAAAGAGTCAGGAACCTAGAGGAGGGGGGCAAAGGAGGTGACGGGGTGGTGGCAGAAAGTGAAGACAAAAGCAGACGACAGAACACTGCTGAGGAAAAAAGTCGTGGCTTATAGCCCAAACTTTACAGTAATCATAACTGATAGAAAAGCAGCCGAGGAGGTTCACGTACCGCTCGAGGATCCAGCTGAGCAGCTTGTAGCTGACAGGAAACTCGATCGGGATGCATCACATCATCCTGACGTGAAAAAAAAAGTACAAGAACAATGGCTGTTCGTGAGGAGCACCACCCCCTCCCCATTAAAAAATACTTTTAAAACATTAGAAATTTTAGTTTAAGAATTGGTGAATCAAATCATCTTGACAGAAGTAAGTCTTAGAACAATGACAGTTCACAGTTCACAGAGGGCAATCCCCCAAAGATCTTACAAAAACAACAGCCCCCCCCCCCCCCCCCCCCACACACACACAATTTTTAGTCACAGACTTTGCAATTCACTAATAAAATATTTTACTTCTTTTTACACAGGAAAAAAGGGCTACAAAGGAAATCATGCAATAGTTCAGCTTTGGGGTTCAGTGGTGTGTAAAAGGAGGGTAACATCCACTGCTTACTAAAATTACAAATCACTACATATAGAGTTACGAAAAAAATAAACACTTAATTTGTTATGTAAAGACAAAGAGAATAATAAGCAACACGAAATACATAGACAGCATTGGAGATAAAACATGGCACCGAAATTGGAAATGAAGCTTTTAAAAGGCTCAAAATGTGACGAACTTTTCTCTGCTAGAATAGGTCTCACTGGTCATGGCAAAAGCCAAACATGATCTTAACTCAGTCAATCCCGGGAGTTTTTCCCGAAATTGTGACCAGAAACCGGTTATTTTGGCACTTATGTAAGGGCCCACTAGGAACCATAAATATAATCCAGTGGCTTTGAAATTTGGCACAAAGTATAACATAAGATGGATCTTTAGACATACTAAATTTGAAGTATGTAGCTTTAGTAGTTTTGCTTTGGGGTGTTGTACAAATTTGGCATTATTTGGGGGCTTATATTTTATTTTTCATGGCCAAATGAGCAAGAGCAAGCGAACATTGATATTCAAATATGCTTGTGAGTGTCTAGATCTATACAAGGTATGTCATGTATAACAAAGACTATTGAATACTTTCAGCAATTAAAAAAATGTAGGTGTGAGAAAGGCAGGGAGAATTGATTGCGAGACATGCTCAGCTGATCAGTGGGAACAAAAGTACTGAAAGTGCCCTTAGAATAACCGCTATTTCTTTGTGCGTTATAATAGTAGAAACAAAATTCCAGCACACCTCTAGGCAGCATTGGCCGGGAAAATAATAAATCCACCTAAAATAAAAACTCGAGGCCGTTTTTCACGAAACGAAATAAGTAGAATACGAAACAAAACTATAGAACCGAGTTATCTCGGTCGTGGGAGTGAACGCAGCCGGCAAGCTGACTGAGATATCTCGGTCACGGGATTGAGTGAGTTAATCCTTTTTTCTTCATTTCTCTTTCAGAAATATTCTCCTCTGCAGATGCATCGGTCATCATCAGACATTGACAGATGAACTCTTATTATTACTTTTACTAAAGTTACAAATTATTCCATGAAGAAGTAAGAAAATATAAGCACTTAATCCATTATAAGAAGACAGAAAGAATAATGCATAATACGAAATAGAATCCTTCAATCACTAGAGGTAAAAATTCCATCTTCTATGTGTGGTTTTCATCCTGAAATGTCAAAACACTATTAATATAAGATAAGAAAATATGACATTTTATTGATCTATTATTAGTTGTAGTATCATTATTAGAGGTATGAGAAAGAGAGGGAACAAGATAGGTAGTGCGAGAGATGGGGTCTACAAGTAGCCAGTAAGGAGACAGTCATTAATGTAGACAACTCATTCCATTGGCTGAGATCGTTGAGGGCTTCTGCTGATGAAAGCTGTTTGTTTTGTTCTACCAGTTTGAGAATTTTAAGAATAAGGATCTTTCTCTGCAGGACTAAACTCACTATTATATCTACCATTCTGCAGCAATAAATGATGAGTATATCACAAAGGTATAGAAGGACCCATCATGATTTCATGAGTTACTTATTTGATTGGAAACAAAGAAAACCTCCAATAAAATTATAAATAAACATGTATTTGAACAGTCTTTACAATTGACAAATGTTCAGATTCAGGACTTACTGCATCAAGGAAACACAAATAGTCTCCACTGCCCATTGCTATGGCTTGATTCTTTGCAAATCCCACTGAAATAAAAGTATAAAATACTGATTTCATAACACAAACAGAACAGACATTGCCACTAGTCTTCAGTTTCTCCGCTGAGTTCTTTGCATCCTTCAACAACATCAGACCCACCAACCACTCCATGACTAAAAATAGGAGTTTTTCCCTGAATCCTTGATCAAAATAGGATTTTGGGGAAAAAAATGGAGTCTCGAGAGAATAAAAAAGTGTATTTTCACATAATTAACGATAAGTTGAGCAAATATTGAATTCATCATTCTCAGGAATATACGGATGTCTAAGGAACTGGGATTGAACACTAAGCTGAGGATCTTCAAAACAAACGTGAAGACTGTTCTACTGTATGGTTCAGAGACATGGAGGCTCACAGCATCAGCAGCAAGGAAACTGCAGAGCTTCGTAAATGGATGCCTACGAAGGATAGTGGGGATCGAGTGGTACGGTCGAGTCATTAATGCTCAACTGTGGGAAAGAACAAGCCAAAGGCCAGTAAAGGAATACATACAGGTGAAGAAATGGAAATGGATTGGACACACCCTGAGGAGAACCCCGACAAGCATCATCAGGCAGGCTTTAACGTGGAACCCACAAGGAAAACGTAAGAAGGGAAGACCAAAGATGACATGGAGGCGAGCGGTACAAGCGGAAATTGAAAAAGCGGGGACATCATGGAAACAGATAGAAAAGTATGCCCAGGACAGGCTTCGCTGGAGTAATGCTGTTGATGGCCTGTGCTCCATTGGGAGTTGTTGTTGTTATCGATCCATTGGGAGTTAAAAAGGGCAAGAGAGAGAGAGAGCAAATATTACAAACAAACCTATTTATTTTCATGTCATCTACCATAAGCTGTGCATGACTGATTAAAATTTGATTCCAGAAAAATACAGAATTTCATGCAAATTTGATCAGGGTTCTTGGACATACAGACAAAATTGGAAGGCATCAATTTTATCACACTACTTGTCAGGTCTCATAACATGCAAAAGGAGTAGACTACATTTTTCTCACTAGTTCATGTGACTACTACACATGCTGGAGGATACATGGAAAAATGGATGACAAGAAAATAAATCAAAAATTACAAAAGGCCTCAGTTAATAATAATAAAAACTGCATTTATACAGTCAATTGCATATCCACACTCTAAAGCATGCTCTATGCGCTTTACAACTATTAACCGACATTTAATCAGCCACACAAACTTTGACTTCAATGCTTTACGGTATGCGCCTTACTGGACGCAATGTTGTTGGATTAGGGGAGTGAAAAACCACGAGGTAAAAACCCCTAGCAATCTACCACCAGTGCCTGCATGAACTCAGGATAAAAAACAAAAATTACATTATGTGCTTTTGAAAGAGATATGAGGGGCAGCAAGCAGCATCTAACCTCTAGAAAGACAAGTCCCAACTTTTCAGAAAAATATACCAGTACACACGGACACTTCCCACCCACCCCCCTTTTGTGTTTTAAAAAATTATAACATCACTGTATAAGACAGCCACTTTTTTCCTTGACGGGGATGTCTTAGGTAATTTTGATTGTATACATATTATATACATGATACAGTGGAGTCTGTTTTATCTGGAATTTGCGAGACTACCTGATTTTATATGGTTTAGCCGTGTTTTCCGTTAACAAAGAGAGATTGCTCAAATAGTGCACGTGGAAAAAAAATTAGGAATTCTATTTTCTTTCAGTTTATTGCTGTTTTCAGATAAACTTTGTTGATTTAAGTGGACTCCACTATATATAATACATATAGAAAGGGTTACCTCCTTTCGGTTCCCCTGAATGTCCAGTGACTTTGACCTTGATTCCTCTTGAATCAAACAAATCTTTCATCTCATTTAGAATTTCCATGCTGTCATCCTGCAAAACATTTATAAAACTGTTTGAAATCTAGCTCTTTGACAGCTAGTACAAGATACAGAAAAGATGATTATTTCTAAAGTAAGAACAAGCTTCTTATACAGTTTGGAACATGTAATAAACACATTTCACTAACATACTGTGCAACACTCTGACAGACAGACAGACAGGAAGACAGACAGATGGACAGACAGATAGGCAGGCAGGCAAACAGACAGTAAGTCAATCTTTTTTTGCTCTTAATCCATTGCTGATGTCTATCTACAGGTACCCCATAAAAATCAGGAGTCCGCATGCATTATAAATAGTACAGAAGTATTATGCGCCAATTGATGTGTCTTCCCTCATATAAATAAGAAAGGACTTTTTGGGGGCAAGCCGAAAATTTTCAAAAAACCAATTACACTGTTACAGCATAACACCACTGTTTAAGTATTTGTGTTCTCAAATGAAACACTAATAATAAAATCAACTTCAACTAAAAATAGAAAATTCAAGTTCCTGATTAGATTATGTAACAGTAGAACAGACCACAGTTTGAAAAAAGTTTATATAAAAAGACAGCCAAGATAAATCCAAAACCTTACACTGCTGGCATCATTGTAGATACAGAGTTCCATTGGCCCCAAGTAGGTCTGATGCAGTACAGATTTGAGGCATTCTGATATCCACGCTGATGCATTGTGCACAGGGACTGTGATTGACTAGACACAAAAGACAAACCAAAACAGTAACTTAATACTTAGCTCTCAATAATGAGACTAATGAAATCATAAAATTGTTTCCACTATAAAATTTGTAGAATCTGTTTTTTTCCTAGTGCAGTCCTCAAACAGGACAAGGAAACTTACTTTACTAAATGATCACAAGTGTTGACCCCTATCAAATTCACAAAAGTATAGATCAAAACAGTTTAGAGTAGAGCGCCTTAAGCTCAGTCTGTACAATGTTGGACAGTGGAGTGGATTTTTCTCACTAGTTCATGTGATTACAACACAGGCTGGAGGATAAGGGGAAAAATAGATGGCAACAAAAAGCCCCCAGAAGTAACAAAAGGCATAAGGTAATAATAACAATAAAACTGCATTTGTATAGCGCATATCCATGATCTACAGCATGCTTTTTGCACTTAACAACTATTAACCAACAGTTTATCCTCCACGTCGCTCTCAACTTTGTTGTTTCGGTGAGTTTTTAAGGCTCTCCACCCATTTGGCTCAGTCCTATCAGAGACAGACGTTAATTTAGGAGGTCCTGCACCTTCAATAAATTCACAGTGTTGAAGGAATTTTAAACTTACACAATGACTTTCATGCCAGTTTACTAGATTTAAAACAATACAGCTTTTCTTTACAACAGCAAATGTGGAATTTAAAGCTTACAAAAAGCATGATGCACACATTTTAAAACTTTGAATTAATGTAAATCCATACACATTTCCCTGCAATTCAGTTTCAAGATGGAAAAAAAGGGCTTGAGGCACATAATCATTATTCTACACTAAGTGTGTATCCACAGAAATTGCTTTCTATCTTCTATTGAATTACTGGTACCGTAAAAAAACAACATTTTGAGTAAAACAGTGACTGACAACACGATAGTCACACTGAGTTGCTAAAATATTAGTGCAGAGCAAAATTAAATGGCTTTCAAAACACTTTCACTCACCACTAATGGTAGCTTCTCATTTTCCATCATCGTTAAGGATTTTTGTTTCTTTTCTCCTGCACAAAATATAAACCTGTAGCTTTAAAACATGGGCACAAAAAAACCCAGAACAAGTTTCAAAAATATTGTATATTATTTTTTTTTTTTAGCTAACATGAAAAATGACCCCTTCACACTTGAGACACAAAATTTGAATTTATATACAGATAATACTGCTCAACTGAATCTGCATACTATTTTAAACTTAATAAGACTGTGAGCATACAAATTGCTTCATAAAGTACTACTAGAGACAAGCTCAAAAGGCACTGGTTTTCCTGTGTGTATCAAGCAGCCAGTGTTGACCACCATTTTCTACAATACTTAAAAATCATTTTTAAAAATTTTTTAAACCATGATTAAATGAGACCTGACAACAACAATATATTCTTGTAGAAACATGGATCTCCCAAGAATAGCGAAGAAAAAAAATGAATAAACACTAAACAGGAAAGGGGAGGGGGCTGAGAGAAAGGGGTTACTTTAATCTTCCTCCTCAGTACACTATAAATATTCACTTTACTGACTCAGAAATTACTGGGATGACTTTCTTGTCATCTTTTTTACTGCCTTTCTTCAGATAATCATAAAGTTGGCAGTAATGCAGGGCTGGCGGTATATAAGGGGTTCTCTGTTAAACCGATTGCCCACCATGACCAACATAGCCTCCAAAATCACACTACTGAACTCAACAACAGCTGTATTGAAATTCAACATGAAAATTAGCACATCAAAAACAGAAGTTATGAAAGTGAGCTGAAACCATAGTCCCTTGAACATTCATGTCAATAGTCAACAACTGAAACAGGTGAAAGAGTTTAAATATCTTGGCAGCACTTTTTCTGAAAGCGGGTCCATAGACAGAGAAATAGAAAAATGCAAACTCAAAAAGCCAACGCTGTCACCTACCAGCTTGCACCCCTCCTATCTCATCCAAACATCTCCATGGACACAAAGAGACAGCTTATCACCTCAATATTCATGTCATACCAACATTATAAATGTTATCAGTGCCAGACCTGGACTTTAAGCAAAACCCATGAAAGCAAAATCACCGCATGCGAAATGAAATGTCTCCGCAAAACCCTTAACATCACAAGACGAGACAGGCAGAGAAATAAAGAAGTAAGAGCAGCTATCGGCACTGAGTCCTGCCTGCATTACATAGAAAGACAAGAGGATAAAATGGTTTGGCCACCTGTTACGCATGTCACCTGACCAGCTAGCCTCGAGAGCCTACAACAGCAAGCACCACACAAAAGGTGGATTGAGGGTGTCAAGGAAACCCTAAGAAAACATAACATCACAACTGAAAAAGCTGCGGAGCTGGCCTATCATAGAAAACTATCTCCCCATGACGCTTTAACGGCAACAGAGGATGAAAAAGTAAAAGTAAAGGTAAGAGTAAGTAAGCTCATCGTTAAGGGAAATGATTCTGCAATTTATGTAGATGAAGGACAATATCATAATGAGAGGCTTTCACTGACTTGTGTGCCAAAACTGCAGAGAAATGGAGGGCAATTTGCAGTTGTGACTCTGGAGGCCATGCTTTAAAATATTTGCAAATTTATTCTAGCTTTTTCTGAGGGGTCAAGAATAGCAGAGAGGCATTCTCCGGTTTTGGCCCCAAGAGTACTGGATATCGATGCTGACTTTAAATTAAAAAATTTTGTATATCGACGTTTTATCCAAAAGAGAGCGAGAGATGCGCTGCTATTTTTCACAACAAAATGAACAGTAATACAGTGGATGTCGCATTCAATGAGGTTGCCGGGACCCGCTTGTTGTCCTCGTTGTATCCGACCTCTCGTTGAATGTGACTAAGGCTAAAGTAAAGAAAGGAGACAAGTTATCATATTACACGATGTACCAATACCAGTAATTAAAACAGTTGTTCCCCCTGAGGACGAAAATATCAAACAGCATCAGTGGGCGCGTGTTCGAGCTGTGTTCTGACTGTAATTTCTGCATTCTTAAATATTTTTTTCCGGAACACTTCTAGTGTGGAAACATACCCTCTCACATCTACGTCTAGATCTACATAAAGTAAAGGCGGGAGCTTGGATTTTCTGATCATGGGAAGAAAAGAAAATTGAAGAAAATGAAGGTCTCGATCTAGATCTACCCATCCAGAGTTCATCCAGTTTCACACAGCCCGCATCGCATTCCCACCCACCCCCTCCCATCTCTATCGTAGGCTAACCCTTGCCCTCTTAGCTTTGGGGCCCATATTAGGAGGCACACTAGATATCTAGCAATACAATGAGTTAGGAATCGGTGATGGGCCTTGTGCTTTGTGTGAGATGGAGAGAAAGGAGAAAAATTCTCCCCTTTTGGAGTCGCTAATTGCTTTTATGGTTATCGCGACCTCGTTGCAAGCGACTCCGGTCTGTTTGCAACCTAGTTGGAGGAGACGTACAATTACAAAGAAATATAGAGGAAAAAATCGGGGATTAAGGATTGCCTTGTTGGAGCTGACTTCTCGTTGAATGTGACCTTGTTGAATGCGGCACCCACTGTATTTCACTAGCTTTTAACAAGGGGGGTTTCAGGGGCCCCCTGAATTTAGGCTTTATGATTATGTAACCACAATTTGATATTTTGCAATTAAGTTTGATATTTCTAGCTAGTGCCTTGGCCTGTCAGAATGTGGCATTTGCGTCGAAAAGTAATCGTTTATAACCTCAAGTAAATATCCAATCGTCGGAGGAGCCAAAACCCACACTCCATGCATTGTCATCAGTGGGGCCAAAACCGGATTATCCCATTATTTTACTTTCACTTGTTCTCTAATGAATGTCTCTAGATTCAAGAGATACTATCATGCTAACTAAGACCCTAAAGGTACATTGTAGGCTATAGAATGCAAATATTACTAGTTATTATTAGGCCTACCCGAATGCTCGGGAAAAAAAAACTTGAACTGTATTTCTCCGAACGGTTTCTGTTCTCGAGATATGTTGATAATTTGCCAAAAGGCCCGTGTGTGAGTGTGTGTGTGTGAGTGAGTGTGCGTGTGTGTATATAAAGTGTGAACGAGGAGTGGGGGCAGGGGAGGCGGCGGCGAAGGATTTTATTTTGTTTAGCCTACATGAAGGAAATAGTTTTGCTTTAGGGGTGACAAAAAGGCAAAATAGGTGACTGCCAAGGTCGAGCAGTCTTGTTTTCTCGCAGTACCTTTAGAAGGCATTTTCAAATGAAATATAGTCCGAGAATGTTGCCCCAACCACAACTGAAGTGTATCTAGCATCTGCATTTGTCACCCGCGAATCGCGAATGTGAATTTTGGCATTTTTTGGTCCGCGAATCGCGGCCGCGATTTTTGCACAAAAAAACAAAACAAAACATTTAAAAAAAAAAAAAGCTGGGGAATAAAAACTCGAATTTTAAAAAAGAGGACTAAATGTTGGAAAAAACTCCCCAAAAAAACAAAACAAAAATCAAATCTTTTTTTTTTTTACTTATTATTTTCACTTCTGTTGACACCACGTTGATTTGTTATTTTTTTTCATGTGAAAAATATAATAAGTTCATTACAAACTATTTATATTGCTGTTTCTCTTTAATTTTTTTGTCTTTGTTATGTTTGATTTGTTGATATGTTGTTTTTTTTCCCTTGTTATTGTTTTGGTCTGTTGTTTTTCTTTTTTTGTGTGCATGTTTTTTGTTTTTTAGTGTAATGTCATTTAATTTGATGTTGTTCCTACTTTTTGAAAAAAATTAATTTGTTACTTAGAGCGTGTATCCACCAAAACCGAATACACACACTGGGGGCTCTCGGGGCCTAGAGGTGGTCGCTTCTCTTTCAATAGGTTCCCATTCAAATCCGGATAGCAACGGAAAATTTTCTTCTCTAAAATTGTCTTCTATCACATCCTTTCCTACTATGTAACAATGTTCTCCACTTTCTGCCCCCACCCCCTCAATTCCTTTGCCCCCTCCTCTGGGCTCCTGACTCTTTCTGCAGCCTTTCTACTGCTACTCCTTGGCTCCTTCTTACACTGCTTTCTTCCAGCCACACTCCTGATCTTATGGTGGGTAAGATCCACACCTAGCCTTCTTGGATAAGGGCGAAAAATCTAGGAGATCCCGTGTGTAAGTTGCGTACGTTAAAGATCCCTCGGTGGTCCAAAATTGATAAGAAGAGTAGGCTTCAGCCGCCACGAGGGCAAAATTCAAAATTTCGTACAAACGGAAAATGTTTGGTGTGTCCCGCGCCGGGCTCATATGACCATGCACTTGCGCCGTAAAACCCTTACAAAAAATAAATACACTGACACTGGCAGGCCCCTTGTGTGTGATTACATGTAACTAGCCTGTCATTTTTCTTGAATTACGAACGTTTAGGGTTAAAACGGCCAAACTTCGGATAGGTGGACACACACCCTTATTTGTTAACTTTTGTGGTTGTTTATTTGCTGTTTTAATTTTGACTTCATTCTGTTTCGAAACTTTTTTTATTTTTCACGTTTTTACACTCTGTGTGGCTACAAATGATATTCTGGAAGCTTAAAACAGAGCACAAGGAATTCTGGTGCTTTAGATTAAGTTTAGATTATTGCCATATCATATACATCGTCACAGAGAGTTTAAAAAAGCTTGAAAATTAATGGCAACTTTTATGGTAACTTTTGCCATTTTTGTGGCAACTTTTTTGGACAAAAAGATGGCAACAAACGCAGATGCGAGGTGTATCTGAATATTCAGACATTTAAAAATCTCAAGATTCTAGCTCTAGAAATTGAATTCGATGCAAAAAATGCTTCTTCCCCGTTCTCTCCTTACAGAATGGCAGAATGAAAGATGACGCCTAAACCTCTCAAATTAAATACAAAAAAATCTCGAGAACGGAAACCGTTCGGAGATATATATAGATCTAGATCTAGATCTAATCTAGACAGATCCAGTTTATTTTCCCGAGCATTCGAGAAATAGAGTCTAGATTTATATTCTAGATCTAGATATAGATCTAGATCTAGATCTAGATGTAGACTCTCTAGACTCTAGTCTAGAGTCACTAGATTTACATAAATTATATTATTTCAATTGAAAATAATAAGAGAGTCTACACAAAGCCTACATTAAAAAAAAAACAAAACATTAAGTGAGATTGTGACTGACTGAGAATAGAAAGAGTAAGAGTCTTCACTTTCTCTAGAATCTATTCTAGATCTAGATCTAGGTCTCCTCAGTGGAGTGGACTGGTTTCGGTTTCCCCTCCGAAGTCGAAGAGCAATCCGTTCAGACTGTGGATGTATTCAAACTGCTCACTCGTAATGAATGTGTTTACGTGCATTGAAGTTCAAGAATCTAGACAAGCTTATTATTGTGTTTGGCATCGTTTCGTATTTCGTACTGCTCTGCTGCACGCTGGTGTGTTGACAATGTTGAGCTTTAGGCTAGCCAATGAGTCTACCAGAGAGTTGGTGTTTGATGGATTTGAACTTTTTTTTAAAGAGCAGCCAAAACTTATAGGCAGTCAGAACTCCAGATTTACAGATATTCAAGAAGATTCTTTATTGATCAAATTCTTTCAATTTTTTGTATTGAAAACTTTAAGCAACTAGATCTATATATTGCTTAAAGTTACAAACATTTGTAGTCTAATTGAAGTAGCCAAGTAAATCTATTTATTTATTTGGCATAAGAACTCTCACGTGACGTACTTCCGGTAGTGTACAGATAAAAATTTAGTCAAACGAAAGAAGACAAGCGAGAGACAGGAGACTGTTCTATCAAAGAAGCCTGTACAGCGTGTGCTGCACTGTGTAAACAAATACCACTCTGTCAAAATGAAGTATAAAAAGGTAATTCGTTTTGAATCCTACTACATCATAGGCCTAGTTGGTTCGAATATGTAACTTGAATAGTAGCAGACAGCGTCCTTGGATGCCAACTGTTCCGAATCCAGCAAGCGCAGCGGCCAGGTCGGCAGACTGAGACACTGACAGGGCTCAGGCTCAGGGCTGTCATATATGGAATTATATTATAAAGATTTATGCTAAATTTTAAACAAATTTAGGGAGGACTTCCGTAACGAGCGACCACTATGAGACAGAGCAGAATTGAGGGCTTGGGGTAGGGGTAGGGTTAGGTCTAGATCTTATTTCTAGATCTAGATCTAGGCCTCTTCTTTATTGTTTTGATGGGGTGGTCGCTCATTACGGAAGTCCTTCCCAAATTTAACTCATAATTCCTGACTGTTCAAGATGCCACTCGGCTGGATTGTACTTTACCGGACCACCCGTCTCGGCCCGTGATTACTACGCACGCCTAGCCTAACTTAACTACGCACTCATAGTACTCTGCGTGCGGACAAAAGGTAGTTCCGCGGGTGACTTCGCGCACGCACAGCGAAGTCAGCGGCGACTGGCGAGGCTAGGTGAGCGAGAGGTGGTGGTAGAGAGTTGGCAGGGGATTTAACTTTGGTGGACCATGGTGTATCATACTAACAGTGGGGAGGGGGGTTCAGGGGGGCTT